ATGGACCTTAAAAAAAAATTCCCAAATAAGTGAACAACAATATACATTTTGTAATAAAAATAAAAAAAAGGATACATTTATAGAGTAAACTTCACTAATTTCTCTTCATTTATTTGCTATAAAGAATTCTATGAGCTTTTATAATAAAAAATTAAAAAATTAAAACCTCATGTGAATTTCTCTCCACATCAAACTGGGAAAAAATAAAACTGGAACATATGATTTGTTTCCTTTCTCAACTAACAAAATTAAAAATTTCGACTCTAAATCAACCTTTCTCTCAACTCCAATTAAATTGAACTGGTTACGCCTTTGGTCCTGTTTGGTAGAGTTGTGGGAAAGTGCTTATAGCTTATGCCTAAACAGCTTATAGCTTATAACTTCCAGCTTAAGCTGATTTCCAGCTTATTCTTAAAGCATCTCCTGCCCCACTCAAAGAATAAGCTGTTTTCTGACTTCCACAAAGCTATAAGCTAAACCAAACACATCAAAATAGCTTAAATTAAGCTGAAAGCTGAAATAAGCTGAAATTAAGCTGTACCAAACAGGGCCTTTGTCTGAGCCATAACGCCATTGTTTGGGAAGTGAGTTTGTGGTTAAAATAGTTACAAAAAAATAAAAAAAAAATTTTAAATTTAGTAAGACAAAATATCACATCCAACACATAATCATTACATTATTTCTCTCATAAAAAAGTTAAAAAAGTCAAAAATCATTTTCAAATCAGACTTTTTAGCCTCAGACTAAAATAATCAAAAAAGTCAAAAAACAACCAACTTCCCAAATCAAGCCATATAATTTTAACTTAAGCCTACGTTTGGGAAGAAAATTTTGGGGTTTTTTTGGCTATTTTAGCCACAAAAAACAAAACATCACATCCAACCCATAATCATTACACTCTTCTCTCACAAAAAAAGTCAAAAAAGCCAAAAAGCCAAAAAGCCCTTCCCAAACCAAGCTTTTTAGCCCAGGCTAAAATAGTCAAAAAAGTCAAAAAGCCAAAAAGCCAACCCACTTCCCAAACGTAGGCTTAGGTTTCATTTGGAAAGTTGAGTTAACTTTTTGTTTTTTTTAACTATTTTAATTTTAATTAAAAAGTTTGTTTAAATTAATTTTTTTAATTTTTATATAAGAAAAAATAGAATAATTAAAAGTTGGTTTTTTTTTTTTTTTTTTTTCATTTGGGAAGTTGGTTTTTAGCCAACGGTGAAATTACAATTTTACCCTCATGGGTCAAAATGTGTTACATAGGTGAAGTTGTAAATATTTTACATAAATGGGGGTAGTTTGGTCATTTTATTATGATTTGACATCATAAACAAACATTAATATAAAAAGTCAAAAGTCACTTTTTACCAACTTCCCAAATTATTTATCTAAAAAAGCCGAAAACTTAGTTAAAAGCCAAAAAATCACTTTTTACCATCTTTCCAAAATAACCCGAAGTCTCACCCATCCAATGTTGCCCATTAATAGGATGGCCACGTCGAGGGTTCGAATTCCCATAAACACAGAACAAGACAAAACAGCTTCAACCCTCTTCACCCAATCACATTCCGACATCAATTAATTTTTTTAAAAAATTTTAAAATACTATTTTAAGATAAATTTAAATTACTAGGCAATTCAAAAAAAATTATATTTTAGTTTTTTTCTTTTAAATTATAAAAACTTACTATAGTACTAAGAGCTTGCTTGGGATACCCTTTGGGGCTAAAATAATCATATAAGATAAAATAGATTATTTTAAGCATAGTTTGGGAAGTTGGTTTTGGTGGGGTAGGGGCTAAAATAGCCACAAAAAATAAAATAGGTTATTTTAACCACAAAAAATAAAATATCGAATCCAACCCATAATCATTACACTCCTCCCTCACAAAAAAAGTTTAAAAAGTCAAAAAGTCAAACCTTCCCAAACCAGGCCTTTTAGCCCCAGGCTAAAATAGCCAAAAAGCCAACCCACTTCTCAAACGGAGGCTTAGTCAAATAAAATAAAATGTCACATCCAACTTATAATCATTTTTTTTTGGTACAGCCATAATTATTTCATTTCTCTCACAAAGTCAACAAAATAAAAAATTTATCCAAAATGCGACTTTTTAGCACCACGTTAAAATAGTCAAAAAGTCAAAAAACCAATTCAAATTCCAAACGAGCTCCGAAAATTATGTGAAAAACTAGTATTTTAATTTCGTTTTACTATTTTTAAAAATTTTATATTTCTAATTTTTTTAAGATCATATAGTTTATACAAATTTAAAAATAAAAAATACTAAATGATTTTTGTTTTTTCATTTTAGTAAAAAAAAAATCAATTTTCAATTAACATATTTTACTTTTAAATCTGTTTAAACTAAATGACTTTAAAAAATTAAAAAATTTACAAAAAATAAAATACATAGATACATCACCACCTATCTCTTAACAAAATGACAAAAGTAAATTAATATTGTCCTACTCAAAAAAATTCTTTTATATGACCTTAAATAAAAGTCTGATTTGAATAATGTCACATAAAAATAAGGGAGAGTTATTTATAAGTCATTTTTTAGACACTTATGGTAAGTTAAGTCCTATGTAATTTCTTATAGAGTCTCAAGTCCTATTTAGACAGGAATATATTCCACAAAATCCTACATAAACGTAACGTGACGTGACACTTACATAAACGTAACGTGTCACGTTACGTTTCACAAACTTAATGAGTTTTTATTTTTTTAAATTGAATGTGAAAATGTTGTTAGTTTATGTTGATGTCACGTTACGTTTCATATAAATATGATCTATGGTAATATTCAATTTCCTACGTTACGCTACGTTTATGTAGATATGATCTATGGTAACATTCCATTTATATAAGTGTCACGTTACGTTACGTTTATGTAAATATGATCTATGGTAACATGCAATTTTCTAGATATTAACGTAACGTAACGTAATGTGACATAATGTGACATCTATGATCTATGGTAACATTCAATTTTCTATATATGGTTTTACTATTATTTATGATATTAATAACTAATATTGAGAATTAATGTGTCAACAAACTTCCCACAGGACTTATGGGAACATAATTTTTTTAATAGGATCATATGTAGTATAAGTTTCCTTAATAGGACTTATAAATAATTTTTTCTAAAAATAATGTTACATAAATGGATTTTGGCAATTGCTTTCTTGTTATTTTTTAATCTAAAATAGATAATGTGTTAGATAATTGTAAAAAAAAATTTAATATTTTGTTATGATGAAAGTTTTTGAGTCGTTTTAAACTTTTACTTTTTGAAGAAGAACTTATAATATTAAAATTACGAAATTGTAGAACCCTTGTTAATATAACCAATTAGTCTAAAGATAAAATAGTCTTTATACAATTCTTTTATCACCAAAAAAATATATTTATTATGAAAAATTTATAAGCGAAATATGCTGACCTCCCTTAATGTTTGAAAAAAAATATATTAAGTAGGCTCATAGTTTTTGCATAATTGTACTAACAATTTTTTAGTAAGACTAAAGGAAACAAAATTAATATAGATGATATAAAATACAAAAACAAACAAGGTAAAATGTACACGTGTAAAATATATGATAATATTATTTTTTTTTTCATTTAACTAAGGAGTTATTGATGACAAAGGGATAAGATATAAACCTTGAGATTGTGCAATGTGAGGAAAATGTGAATAAAATATTAAAAAAAATAAACAAGAAAAATTGAAAGTACAAAAAATAATTACAAATTTATGAAAATACACTACTCATTTGCGCAATCTAAGTGCATAAATAACTTGTACTTTTATAAGTTCACAATTTCCACTTTTTTGATATTTTCTAAAAAATATAAGCTATATTTTTGTTCTATTTCTATATTTTATAACATTTGATACATTAGAAAACGAAAGTCAATGAAAAACATTTTTTATGGTCAACAAAAAATAAACCTATACGGAGAAGAAAATATTTTTCATTTTAAAAGACGAAAAACGTTTTCCAAATTAAAATTTTACTAATGTCATCATACTAACCACCTTCACTTTTACCCCTACCACTACACGACCATCACTACAGTCACTATCACCATCACCACCATCACCATCACCATCGCGCCATTACCATACCACCTCCTCCACCTCTACCTTCATTTCACCATCACTATCATCAAAAATAGAAAAATATTTTTTTAAAAAAATATTTTTTGAATTAAACATATTTGGCACCTAAACAAACATAGTGAAAATTAATCTAATTTATATCTGGGCCTAATTTGAAAACTCGGTTGAAAGTCAATTTTTAACTTTTAATCTATTTTAAGTCATATTACATCTTTATTTTTTTTACATATTTTTATAAAAAACTAAAAAATTAATTTTCAATTAACTTCCCAAATCCATCAAACCAACTACCTTATTTAGGGTTGGTTTGGGAAGTGGGTTATGTTTTTTAAATTTTTGGCTTTTTTGATTATTTTAGCCTGAACTAAAAAACTTAGTTTGAGAAGGACTTTTTAGATTTTTGGTTTTTTTGATTTTTTTTTGTGAGAGAATAGTGTAATAATTATGGGTTGGATGTGATATTTTGTTTTTTTTGACTAAAATAACCTATTTTATCTTTTGTGACTAAAATAACAAAAAAAAATCAAATCTAACTCTTCCCAAACATAGCTTTACGTTTAAAATATATATATATATATTTAACTTGGTTTCATTAAAAAAAATAAATTATTTGAAGGTGGTCAAACAGACATGTAAATATTCCAAGGACTACTAGAGAATCAATTATCCTATCGAACAACTTCTCAAAAAAAAAAAAAAAATGTTCCCGGACCCTGTCGCATTTTCTGTGGTGGTTCGCTGCATCCACGGCCTATTCCCGGTAAAAGGAGGTATGGGTTACCTGCAACACCCGGTTGGCACACGGGTTAGAGTTTTGACCATGGTTGAAATGATTCACACCTCTGGTTAACCCTTCCCTCTCTCTCTTTCTCTGTGTTTTTCCTCGCCAGACTAGGCAGAAAGGACAGTGTACGATTGTTCGGGTACCTGCACACCAATCCAATCCAATCCCATTCTAGAGAGAGAAAAACAGCATCTCTCTCTCTCTCTCTCTCATATTAGTGCAGATATAGAGAGAGAAAGTGTAAGTATAATCGAATTCTCCAAGTTCGTTTGGCCAATCTCTTCTATAGAGAGAGAGAGAGAGTATATAGTTTCAAGTTTGTTGCGAATTGGAGCTGTGAAGGTAGGGTTTGGATTGAGAGAGAATTGATTGTTGAGAATCGATTTGAGGAGGTTGGGGTTTCAGATGAGAGATCTGTGTTAAAGCTTCACGAAAATGGCTTCTTCAGAGCTGTCATTCAAAGGAAACGCTAGAGGAGGAGGAGAGTGCTTCTCTTCGGGTTACAGTGACCATAACGATGGCGCCGGACTGTCTAGGAGCGCTTCCGAGGCGGCGCCGAAGGGTTATTCCACTGTTTCCGGCGCCGGGAAAGGTAATTCCGGCGAGTTTACAGTGATCTCTGGCTCTGATTTCGAGTATTTTATTTAAATTTTTTTTCTTTATTTGTTGGTGCAGTGGATCCCGAAACCGCGCTTTACACGGAGCTATGGCGCGCTTGTGCTGGTCCGCTCGTGACAGTGCCTCGTGAAGGCCAGCGCGTGTTCTATTTTCCTCAAGGACATATTGAGCAGGTTAGTTTCCAACTCTGGGCAATCGTATTCGGACTTCTTTGTTTCTCTCAGAGGTTAGATTCATTAGGATTTCTCATAATTCTCTGTAATTTTATCCGTTTTGTCTCTCTTGGTTGTGCATCTCCAATTGTTCATCAATTTTTTCATCAGATTCAAATTTGATGAAAAAAATGGCTTCAACCATTTCATAAAATCTGTATCAAATAAAGTAAGAGGCAATTTTTTCACCAAACCTTTCACCAAATTTCTAACAGTCATATTTTTACTCAAATTTGATGAAATTTTAGAAAGTGTGATTGGTGATGATTTTCTTTAATAAAAAAATGGTTAAAAGATATTCTTAAAATAAGTTTGTAATTTTTTAGAAAATTTTGATTTAAAAATATATATATTATATAAATAAGTAAAAGAGTATACGCTGTAGTATTTCATATCAATTAAGTTTTTAAACAAATTTTTACTCAAATTTGATGGGAAAAAAAAATATAGTCAGGATTGTAGATGCTGTAGTCACACATGTCACGAAGCATTGGAGCAAGAATTTATTTTGCAATTAAGAAAAGTTTAGAGAGTTTTTTTGCTATTTCTGTACATGGGTTTGTGTTGAGCAGCTCATGAATGATGGGTTTTCTGGGTGTTTGGTTAGGTCGAGGCATCAACCAATCAGGTGGCGGACCAGGAGATGCCGATGTATAATCTTCCATCAAAGATCCTTTGCCGTGTGCTCAATGTCCAATTGAAGGTATTATCAAAATTATCATCCATTTGATGGATGTTGTATTTGGGTTCTTAATGGTTGGTCATGGGTTTTGTTTGTTTGGATTTTAACTTTGCTGATGTAGCTGTTTTCTGATTTTTATCTGTATAGGCTGAACCGGACACTGATGAGGTGTTTGCCCAAGTGACCCTGCTTCCTCTAAAAGTAAGTTTGCTCTGATCATGCTAAAGGCAATAGACATAGAATTTAACCCTAACAGGTTGATGTTGTTAATGCCAGGAAGATGAGAATGAGGCGGAGAAAGAACCTATGCCACCTCCACCACCACGCTTTCATGTGCATTCCTTTTGTAAGACCCTAACTGCCTCAGATACCAGCACTCATGGTGGATTTTCGGTGCTAAGACGGCATGCTGATGAATGCCTTCCCCCTCTAGTTAGGATTCATTACTCATAGACTCATGTGTCCTGCACATTTGCTTTGCCAGAAGTAGATTCTCATACAAATCAGTGTCCTGCTATTTTGACAGGACATGTCACGGCAACCACCGACTCAAGAGTTGGCCGCAAAGGATTTGCATGGAAACGAGTGGCGTTTCAAACATATCTTTCGGGGTAATTGCTGAAATATTCTTTTGTCAGCTTATATAGTTATTTGAAATACCATCCACAACGCATTCTATACAAGTACATCTAGAAGTTAGGGACCTATATTTATTTTTGTTATTACTACTATGTGGCAGTAGAGAGTGATTCAATGTCAAATGAGTAATGCTAGAGTGACCGCATTTGGATGAAACATTACATTGAACTCACCACATCAAATGATAGGGTTTTTTAAAATGTAATCACTAGAGCATTACTCATGTACCTGGGTCCTAGTCTTATACTTATTTTGGGGATGTTCTAAACATCTACTTCTGTAGGATTTGATTTTGGTTACCATCGGAAAAACGTTTATTCATGTTGAGTTCTAGTGCCTCATCTTAGTTCATGTGATTTTGAAAATGGCAGGTCAGCCAAGGAGGCACCTACTTCAAAGTGGTTGGAGTGTCTTTGTAAGCTCTAAAAGACTTGTTGCCGGGGATGCTTTTATATTTTTAAGGTGTGCAAATCATCTTTACATTTTTCACATTCCAAGTTAGCTACTCGTTACTAACTTATGGAATGATTTTAACATGGGACTTTTAGAGGTGAGAATGGGGAACTTCGCGTTGGAGTAAGACGAGCCATGAGACAGCAGGCTAATATTCCATCATCTGTCATATCCAGCCACAGCATGCATATTGGTGTCCTTGCAACAGCGTGGCATGCATACACGACAGGAACATTTTTCACAGTCTATTACAAGCCGAGGTTTGTGTCATATACTATATATTCACTTCCAGGATGAAATTGCACTAAAGAAAACTTGTTGGATGGTTCAGAATTTAAGGTTTGGCTGAGTGCAAGTTATGATAGTTCATTAAGATCTTTTCCATCATCTCATTCACTCATGCATCTCTTTTTCTCTTTCTTGGATTGACTTGCAATTATGTAACTGTGAGGATTGTGAAAAGTGTTTGGGTTGGGTTGACTATTGTTTGGTATTAAGCGTATGTGTCAGTTTCGAATTAACTTTTAATTACTAAATACTTGAATTGAATAGCTTTCTATAGTGTTGAAATGTGATCTGCCACACTAGGTTCAAGCCTTCATTATGTGGCAGACTACTAGATTAATTTGCTTCTCTAAATCACCTATGTATTGTCAAAACAGGGGAATGAAATAACAAATATGAAATTACTTGTGTTTCTTGTATTTTCTGCTAACTAATTCTTTATTACAGGACAAGCCCTGCTGAGTTTATTGTTCCATTTGATCAATACATGGGATCTGTCAAGAGTAATTATTCTGTAGGGATGAGGTTCAAAATGAGATTTGAAGGTGAAGAAGCTCCAGAACAGAGGTATGGTTACTGCATGTAGGCATTTTTTATGCTGATTTCTAGGCATTGTAGGGACTTCTGAAAACTGATTGTTTTTAGATGTTACTCGTAGTGTAATATTTGAGCCTCCATTATTTATAAAACATATTATTCATATAATTTATTGATGAATTGAAGGTTTACTGGAACAATTATTGGGATTGAAGATGCTGATACCAAAAGATGGGCAGAATCTAAATGGAGATGCCTCAAGGTAGTATTTTGTCTATAGTACATAAGGTGTTGCTAATAGTATTGCATACTAAAGACTATATGTCATGGTTTTTGAAGGTACGGTGGGATGAAAATTCTACCATTCCTCGTCCGGAGAGAGTCTCACCCTGGAAAATAGAACCTGCTTTGACTACAGCTGCACTAAATCCCCTTCCCATGCCCAGGCTAAAAAGGCCTCGGTCAAGTATGGTGCCCTCTTCCCCTGACTCCTCTGTTCTTACAAGGGAAGGTATGGTCCCCACCTGAGTTGCAGAGTCTGTTGACAGACTAATCTTTCTTCAGCTTTCATGAGTGTTTTTTGTAAAAGTCCATCATAGATTATGGATCTTGAATGTTTGTATTTTGAATTAGGTTCATCTAAGATGACAATGGACCCTTCACCAGTAAATGGATTTTCAAGGGTCTTGCATGGTCAAGAATTTTCGACCTTGAGAGGCACTTTTGCAGAGAGTAATGGATCGGATTCTACTGAAAAGCCAGTTGTATGGCCACCTTCATTGGATGATGAGAAGATTGACATGGTGTCTCCTTCACAAAAATATGCATCGGACAAATGGTTGTCCTCAGTGAGGCATGACTCAACCTTCACAGATCTATTTTCAGGTTTTGGGGCCCAAACCAACTCCTCCCACAAGTCGATAAAAGTCAATTTACCAGATCGGGAAGGCAAGTTCAATTTTCTTGCTAGCAATTGGTCTGTAACACCTTCAGCCCTCTCACTCAACTTGTTAGATTCTAGCATGAAAGCTCATGTGCAAAGCAGTGATGTGCCTTGCCATTCACGAGATGTCAGATATGGTGGTTTTACTGAGTATTCCTTGCTTACTGGTCAAAAACCTGAGCAGCATCAAGGAAATTGGTCGAGGGAACCACCACTTCAATCATATCTTCATATTCCCACTCAGTCAAGAGGGCTGATGCCTCGGCCTGTACTGGTACAACAATCTGAAGCAGTGAAACCTAAAGATGGGAATTGCAGACTCTTTGGTATACCACTCATCAGTAATCATGTAACAACGGAGCCAGCACACTCGCATAAAACTACTATTGAAACCGATCAAAGGTCTGAACAAATAAAGGGTGTAAACGTGGCAGATCAACCACTTCCTAGTGTTGAGCAGGAAAAACCATCCCAAACGTGTCAGCCACTTGTGAGGGATTGCCTTGGGAAATTCCAGGGTGGTTCAACAAGGAGTTTTACCAAGGTCCGCACCTATTTATTTGCATATATTTGGCTTTTAATGCCATGATCATTCTGGGTAGTGTTAAATTAATTTGCTTGAATGAATGTTGTGATGATTTCAGGTTCATAAGCAGGGGATTGCTCTCGGTAGGTCTGTGGACCTTACCAAGTTCAGTAACTATGAAGAATTGATTGCCGAGCTGGATCAGTTATTCGAATTTAATGGTGAATTGAAGGCAAGGAACAAGAATTGGTTGATTGTATTCACTGATGATGAGGGTGATATGATGCTTGTTGGAGATGATCCATGGCCGTAAGGACTCTTTCCGGTTTTTTTTTTTTTCATGTTCAGCCATGAACTTTGTTGTCAGCTTTTGTTGGTTGTACTTGCATCTTCCATTTATTTGAATAGTCCAGATGCATCAATGCAATAACCTCTTAAAGGGAATCATTCCCAGTTTGGCATGGGCTAAAAAAGCAACTAAGAAAGTTTTAAAATGCTACTTTCCGACTAACAAAAAAGCAACTTTTTTAGCCATCACCAAATGCGTAAGCTTTTTTAGATTTCAAAAAAGCATAAAAAATGAATTGCCAAACTGAGCTACTAATTGGTTATTTTGTTTCTGTAAACAGGGAATTTTGTGGCATGGTTCGCAAGATCAACATCTATACTCGGGAAGAGGTGCAGCGGATGAACCCAGGGACCCTGAATTCAAAGGGTGAGGAAAATTCGTTACTTGGAGAAGGTATGGATGGAAAAGAAATGAAGAATACGCTGCTTCCTACGGTTTCTGTTCCTGAGAAATGTTAGCTTCTTTTGCATCTACATCTACTTAGTTACCAAGATGGTTCTAGCGTGTTGCGTTTTTACTATTTTTTGTTGGGGGGAATACATTCATTCAAATGAATTCAGATTCGTGCAGAGTCATTCCCTTCACCATTTGGGTGCCAATCTATGGCTTAAAATAGATAATTACAATTTTGGACATGTTTTGGAGCGGTAATGTTGTATGTTGCCTCTTATTGTTACATAGTTTACGTACGTGTATTTTCAGCTAGGCTATTGCTATCTTCCATTGTCGAACGGTTCCTCCTTTTGTACAGAGCCTCAATTTCTGCATGTAATTATGTCTCATACATTGCCTTTTCTTGATCTCATATGATCTCCAAATGTGAAACTACTTCATGTTGGTATGTATGAATGGTGACCTGATTGTAATTGGTAATGGTGACATCAATTTTGAAATTATGAGCTACAATGATAATGTCTAGGTTTGAAATGAAGGATCACAATTTATAGAAAAGTTTAGAATTACAATTTATAGTTTACTTTTAAATTTGATGCAGTGTGAGTGGCGGTGTAAACGAGTTGAACTGAGTATTAGATTATTTAAGTTTGGTGTAAACGAGTTGGACTGAGTATTAGATTATTAAAGTTTGGTTTGAAAATTTAATAAATTTTAAAATATGTTTAAATTTGAGTTGTTTGTTGTTTGGATTGATTTTAAACGAGCTTAGTTCAAATGATTTGATTTTTTTTGTACTACATATATAAGTTTACCGAGTTTAAGTAGTAACTTGTTCAAATGTGGTCCCAAAGTTACAAGTTTTAAAATATGTTATAAGTTTGATTTATTATCTAAATGAGTTTTTACCGAGTTAAACATGAATGAAACTAAAAAATTATAATAATTATGCGATGGTGAGTTAAGAGTCCGAAACACAATCATTAGATTGTTTAATCGTGATTAACCTTGCAATGATTGTGTTTAGACTCTTTTAATCTGCCATTGCAAAACTATTATAAGGGTGGATTATTACGATGGATCTTAACTCTTGTTTTACAACGTTAGGCGCATATTATATTTAAAATGAATTTGATTCACATATTTTAAATTTCAACAATGCTAGGTAGTTCAAAATTTTGTGGCTCAAATCACTCAAAACGACGTCGTTTTGACAAATTTTGAGTGTAAAACGACGTCGTTTTGACAAATTTGAGCCATTTGAGCCACAAAATTTTGAGCTACCAAACATTTTCCTTTAAATTTTCAACCATTTTTATGTATTTTTTTTCTGGGTATTGGGTCAAAAGCATCGAGTGTTTGGGACTTGTTTGTACACATCCAAAGCCTATTTGTCATGTTATTACATTGTTTTGAAGAATCAACTTTGACCAGAAATTTACGAAGTGACAATGAGGAAACCCCTAGGAAAACTCCAGCTCATTAATATTCCAAATTTGAAAGGACAAAGTTTCATTTTCGTGGTGTTTTGATTGTGTGGGGGTGTGTTTAGCGTGTGTCTAAACAATTTGACTGAGATAATGGGGTGTCATTAATTGTACTTGGATTAATTTAGGCTTCGTTTGGCTAACTTAGTTGGATTAAAAATAATACAAAAGACAAAATAGGTTAAATAAGTTAATAAGACAAAATGTCACATCCAAACCATAATCAATTAGCAAGAAAATTAAGTTAAAAAATTGTTCAAACTACAGCAAAGTCACATCCATAGTAGATTTCAAATTCAATTAACATGGTTGTAATAATCATGCTTCTTGATATTTTTATAGTATTAGTATTTGTGGACAAGATTTTAAATTTGACTAACGTGATAGTGATAATCATATATGTTGGTATTTGTAGTATTACTATCTAAGCGATTGAGATTTTAAATTTAACTAATGCCCGCTATGATTATCAGACTTGTTAATATATTTACTACTTGATATTTGCAATATTACTATCTCAATTGTTGAGATTTTAAATTTAACTAATGCCCGTTATGATTATCAGACTTGTTAATATATTTACTACTTGATATTTGCAATATTACTATCTCAATTGTTGAGATTTCAAATTTGACTAATATGGTGGTGACTATCATGCTTATTGTATGTACTTGTTAATATCTACAGCATTACTAACTCGATTGTTAAGATTTCAAATTTCATTATTTATTTTTATTTTTATTTTAAAAATCAACAGTTTTGTTATATGTTAGTTATTATGTGTTGTTAAACTCTATTACTTAAGGCGGTGTTTGGAAAGAAAAAAAATAGCCTAATTTAGGCTAAAATTCACAAAAAGACAAAATAGGCTAAAATAACTAATAAGACAAAATATCACATCAAACCCATAATCATTTTACTTTTTCTCTCACAAACATCACATCCAACCATAAAAAAATCCAATCATCTTCCCAATCACAAAAATTTTAACCTACTAAAATAGCCAAAAACTAAAATAGCCTACTAAAATAACAACTTCTCAAACGAAGCCTTAATTAAATGTCAGAGTTTAATATAATTCTCATTGTATTGGTAAATTATCTCTTACCTATTAATAAAATCAAAGAGGTCCAAAAACTACCAGCAAAGAAAAAACTAGCCTTCATAGTATAATTCCTTCATTTCATTGGAGGTGACCCCCCAAATTAATCTGTAGAAAATACTCCACCACTACAATTCCAAAACAGACTAATTACATTTAATACCTTACACTTCTACTAAAATTTCACTTTGACCTCTCTACTTTCAAATATGACAATCAATCCCTTAATCAACCTTCGCTTAGCCTAACGGAACTTGTCAATATGAACCATACATGGCATTTTTCTCAGCTCATTAGCATCCTTTCACTTTCACCAAAATCTCACTTTAATCTTTGTACTTTCACCAAAATATCACTTTGATCCTCCACTTTCAATTTTGTCAACCTCATTTCCTTCCACCTAACACTATAAATGAGTAACAAAAATTTAAAGTACATAAATCAAAGTGATATTTTGATGAAAGTACAACAATACAGTGTAATTAACTCCTCCAAAACCCTTGAAAATGCATGTTGAAATTAAGCCGATATCAAAATACCCAACTAAAACAGCATGGTAATTCAAACAGAAAATTATTTTAAATCCAACAAAAAAGATAATACAAGTTTTCTATGCTTTAAAAACTTAATAGATGTTCTATCTAAAAAGAAAAAAAAGAAGCTTAATAGATGTTGATACTAGTCAATCCACAAGCTATGAACAACTTGCGTTCGCTAAGTCGCTTGATTGATCTGTCGACATGAGTAAGAAAAAGCATACAACTGCATGACTGAACCTTTGGAGAAGGCAATACAGTCCATAAGCCAAGCTGCAACTCAGGTTTGGTTGACGAAGAAACCAAGATCAAGCCAAGAAGCCGGCTGAATCCAAGAGCACTGCTTTGATTTGGTCAGGATGGAGGTCTTGGCCTTCTCTGCATTGCTGCAATAGAAGAAATTGTACATCACTATCTTCAGTCAAAACTACTAGTCTAATACTTACACCACACAAGTTACAAGGTTGGAAGCCATCTGTAGAAATGGGTAGTGGCTCGGAGATTTTTGAGGCCTCAAGCCAAACAGGAAAATGGGCATTTGGCAATAAGAATTTTTTTTGAGATTTTTTGGCCTGAAGGTCAAGCCGCCTCTAGAAGTTAGAACTAGAGTGGTATCGTGTGACCACTATAAGTCAGATCAGGTTGTCTTTTCTGAATCAGATTCACTTCCAATGTGGAGCACACTACTCCGTATCATATCAATCTTTCCGGGCTTACTATTTCAACGATGAACTCTTTTCCATCATGTTGGGCTTTGGCTAACTTCTCCAGTCAAGGTGGGAAGCCATGAAATATGCCAGTAAATCTAACATGTATATTCACATATATATATTAGATTCATCCCAAATATATCCATAATTTGAAATCAATCTTTTACTTCAAGAAGTATAAGAAAGTTTTCAAATCCTCCAGGTCACATATTTGAACTGTTATATTGAAATTGTACCATTTTCTTGTATAGTATTAGAGAATAATTGTTATGATAAATACAAAAATAGTTTTAATACTTTGCTAACTTCTTAGAGAAGAAGATATCATGAGATCAAACTTTTATAGAATTTGTCGAATAATGTGTCATATATGTAACTCATATCTCTATCCTTACTTTATAGGAAATAAGGATTAATAAGAAATTATAACAATAATAAAAATGAATTTCCACAAATGAACAAGAAAGCAGACTAACGTACAACATGTTCGCATATAATGCTTTGGGCAAAAGGGAAAAGCATGGATTGTTCTGCTATTTCAACATAAACAGTTTTAGACTTGATATTGAAATAAAATTTTTATAAGAGCTACTGGAAATTTAAAAGTAAACTGGCAACGGACTCTTAAGATAATACCTGATTCCTAAAGATTAGCATTTTACATCAAAAAATTGTAGTGATTTCTCATCTCACCATTTTTAGAAATTATGGACAATACAATACTAAAAGTCATTAAAATATATTTTTTTTATCAAACATATCATGGCCATTGTATCTGTACCATGTTTCTGCATATGTACTTCATGTATGACGGTTTTTCAGATTAAATATCTGAAGGTTATACGCAGAACCAAATTCCTTGCATGCAGGCTAACTTTAAAAGTAATTTGTCACACTAACAATATGTCACGAACAGTTTAAAATTCCATCTCATATTTGATAGAATAATCATTATGGGTAAGTGGGATTCAACTACCATGGGTTGTCTTTGGAGGGGAAGTGGATCCTCTATGCAGATTATGTCCTAGAACGCAACATTTTTTTCAAACAAAGATGCCCAATATTATTCTAAAGAAGGCAAAAGAAAGGTACCTCAGCCCGAAAGATATCCAATGCAAACCCATTGAAGCAGCTGATAACAGCTTGTTGGATGTCTAGCCCAAGGTTATCCAAAGCCCCCATAGTTGAGAGCAAGAGACCCGGTTTGCGGCTACAAAACATGTGGATATTAACAGCTCTTCCTTCTCTTAGCCTTACTTCTACCTGCAATAACAGCATAATGGCAATTGTGTCATTTTGCCAGTTTCTCCGATTATTGTAGTGCAGAGTCTATCATACATAATTGCATCCGAACAGAGATAACACGACCAAACAGCTCGTCAAAAATGGTTTTTAGTGCTTGCCAAAAATTAAAATAGAAAACAGAAACTGAAAATGCAACCAAATAGGCCCTAGGTATCTGTAGACAGAAGAATGAAGGCCTACCCTTGCAGGTTGTCCATTTGGGCTCGGCAATGAACCTGGGCAAAGCTCTTCCTTGATGCGGCTGGTCAGGGAATGTGGGGTTGGTGTCAAAGGGTAGAAGCTTGTGGCAGTAGGTGTCAATGAAGAGCCCGGAGGGTTCGACTCGAGTTCGTTGTGGAGATCACTGATCTTCTGCAGAAGTTCCTTCAGGTATTCAACCGCATCCCCAAGAATCGAAGCCCTGTCCATCTGTCAACAGAATAGAACAATATAGCCCACATCATACCATTTTACACACGGTACAATTTCAATTTAGGAGCTTTGAATTCATATATTTTTTTTTCAATGTAGAGTATCCTGAGCCAGCTTATGCACACTAGACTAATAGCTACCACTGAACTGGCATGATCAATGTGTTGAAGTAACCTTAGATCTAGTCAAAACCTTGATCAATTAATGAATTTAAATGAAAAAGAGATTAAAAATAATTTTATTCTTTAATTCTCTTTTCTTTTCTTTTGTCATTCTAGGGTATAGTCCCTTTTTGCCTCTATTGATGTTTTTATTTTACTAACATTTTCATTGATAACAAAAAAATTTGCTTGGTATAAACCACTGTTTTATTTTATGTGCGTCATAAAGTAGTAAGATTAAAAATAGTTTGCCCCGCATAAATGCTCGGAATACCTAAGAGGCTCAAACTTTTCTCTCTCATCAAATCTTAATCTAGTGCGAAGAACCAATCCTAGAGAACTCTTCAAACATGACTTTCCAATATTTTTAAGTTTTCAACAAGGTTTTTTGGCATTTTCAATCCAAATATGAACAATATGGACTTGTCATAACGAAGACCAGAGAGAGGTTGGATAGGGATAGTGTGCCAGTGAACAAAAAGATAAGCTTCAAAGGAACTGATAAGAAACCCAAACTATTCAGCGAATAGAAATATAAAATTCAATTTAATACTTAGTGTGCCAGTGAAAAAAGCTACATTCACAAACATTCATTTATCATATAACCATAATTGCTGTGGTCCATAAATATTTGTCTTTTTTTAAAAGCACCACCAAAATCCATGTGAAACAATTTAATACTAACATTCATATTCAATTCACAGAACTTTTTGACCCAAGCAAGGCAAGAGATGCAGGTAATCAAACAGAAAACACAAAAACAAAAACAAATTACTAAGGCCTTGTTTGGTAACGCTTCTGTTTCTTTTTACTTTTTCTTCTTTTTTTTTTGTTTTTATGTTTTCTGGAAACTGGAAATGAAAATTTTTTTGGTATATTATTTTTGTTTTCCATAGTATTAAAATTGATTTCAAAATTTCAAAATTTTGGAAACAAAAAAAATAGATGTTTTTTACTTATTTTCAAAATAAGTTCACTCTCTCCACCTTCTCCCACCACCTCCGGCCATCACCCAAGCTGGCCGGTCAAGCTCCAGCCATCTTTTGGCCAACTGCATGGCAAGCTCCTATAAACTCTAGCCACCTTCTGGTGACTAGCTAGCTGGTCACCACCTGTGACCTAGTGACACTCTGGCCACCATCAACCACTACATCTGTCCACCCTTCACCGCCGGTCACCACCTCCCCGGCAACTCATCAAATCAAACCAAACTGAGCCTTGTGTCCCAACCAAGTGGGGTCGGCTACATGAATCATTTTCTCCCACTCACCACTTTCATCAAACATGTTCATTTATTTTGTTTTTATTTATTTTCAAAATATTTTTGCACCAAATAAGGCTTGTTTGCCCTTTCTTGTGAACACAGAAAACAAAAAAACTCACACCACAACCACCAAGACCACCACCACCACCTAAGAATCCAAAACATGTCAATAATTCAAGCTGTAATTCACGAGAAAATTGCTGTAAAGAAATTCTTACCTTGCTAATTTTTGGAACAACAGACCTCAGCAAGTAAAGCCTGTCATTGAGCTTCTTCCGGCGCCTCCTTTCCGCCATCAAATTCTTGGCCGGAAGCCCCTTCTTCTTCCCTTTCTGATCTCCACCGGTAACAGCACTATTCGCATTCGAGCTATTGCCACCATTTTTCCCACTCTCTTCCACCTTATTGTTCTCCATAAAGTCATCTGAATCATAGTTCAACCCCGACCCATCAATACTCACATCTTCAAAATCATCTTCATTGATGTTCATCCTCTTCTTCTCATTCACATTACTCAATTCCATTTGCCCATTATACCCTTCACCATTGCTTCCAATCCCACAACCTTCAATACCCAAAACCCCCAAACTAGCCCCATTGTTGGTCAAGCTCTTCCTGAGAGCAGCTCTTTTCTGAAACAGAGTTGGTTGTGCTCCAACTGAAGCAAAATTATCAAGTGGCTTCAACAATTTCGATCTATTTAGAAACAAAGAATTCCCAGAAGCCTCCTCAAAACCCCGAAACCCGAAATCGACACCGGCACCTGCACCCACTGTGCTGTTGTTTTGGGCCAATTGAAGCAAATGGGTAGTTGAAAATTGAGGATCTGAGACCAAATTGGGAGTAGCCATATGAATCTGAGAGCTCAAATCAGTGAAGCCAGTCAAAACCCCACCTCCTCCCCTGTTGAAAGAACTCAAACCTTGGTGGGTATCGAGAAAACCCATATCAAAACTGTTGTCTATCAAGTTACTGGGCATCAAATTGAAGAGAGAAGGCATGGAAGTGGGTTTTGGCGGAAGAAAATACTGTAGCTGAGATGGGTCGAGATTGGTAAAAGCCGAAGCTGACGATGGTGAACAAGAAGAAGACGAATCCACCGGCTGTAACAACATGTTGTGGTTGTTGTTATTGTTGTTGTTGTTGTTATCTGCGTCAGTGAAGTTTGTTGGGAAAGTGATTGGATGGTGGTTTTGGTTTTGGATGTTGTTGTTGGTTATATACCATTCTTCTTCGACATCTTCAACACCAAGCATTGATTTGAATGTAGAGAGTGAACCCATTTCGTCTTTGTGCTCTACAAAGCAATTGTTGTTGTTGTTGTTGTTGTTTTGAGCCCAGGAAGGTGTTTCTTCGTCTCCTCTGTGTTCCATCCACGCCAGGGTGTTGTTGATTCTGGGTAACATCTCTCTCTTGCTTGGAGTGAAGGAAAGGAAAGGAAGCTTCAGCAGAGAGAGACAGAGAGAGAGAGAGCGAGAGAGAGATTTTTGATTGAGGGAAAATGTGAGAGACGCGCAATGATGGCTTCTCTGGCTTGGAACGTTACGTTTTTGCAAGGCTGTGTTGTGTTGTGTCACGATTAGAGGCACTGTTTTTGTTTGCATGAATTTGAGGCCTTTTTTTTAATGGGCGTTTCACTCAAATTTGAAAGGAAAATCATATTCTAATATAAAATTTATACCAAAGTTTTTTATATATTAATATTAGGATATTTACACATAAATCTTAATTTATAAATTTATATTTCATTAAGTTTTAATTAAAATTTTTTAAACTTTTAAATCTTATTAAATTAGAGGTAACACGTGCTGCATGCAAAACAATTAATAATATATTTTTATGCAAAATAATATGAATAGTTAAATTTTTATATACAAATTATGAAAACAAAAAAAATTAAAATTTACAATTTAAGTCCCACGATTTTATCATAATTTATTTATTATTTTTTAATTTATCACAAATTTAATCATGTAACTTTAAACCTCCCGTGCTAGAATTGCAAACTTAGGTGATCTCAACCCAAACAACTGGAGTCGAGCTTAAAATTTTTTAAAGATTAAACAACATAGTTTTTAATTAAGTGAGGACATATTCAGAAACTCAAAAATTCAAATTAAATTTAAGTGGATTTGGGCAGAAACACCAAATAATCTGAGCAACAAAAACAAAATTATATATATAAATATAGAAATTATTTGTTAATTTATTTCTTTAAATAATAAATAAAATTAATTAAAAAATTAATATTAATGAATAAAAGAAAAAACAATATACTTAAGATTTCCAATACAATTTTTCTTGAAAATATTTATAAAAATACACCTTTTAGAAAAGGATCATAGAATAAAAGGTTGTTTGGGAAGTGCCATATTAGCTTCTTCTTTTTTTATCTTTTTATATTTTTTGAGTCACATCACATCTTTACTTTTCTACACAGCATTACGTAAAAAGTAAAAAAAATATACTTAATTATCTTTTTAGAGTCACATCACATTTATACTTTCTATACATATTTTCATAAAAAGTAAAAAAATATACTTATTGAGTACTTCCCAAACTATCACTAAGTTGATATTAAAAAAATTTACTCCCTCCGTCCCAAAATATTAGTCCCTTATTCCATTTTTCATTGTCCCAAAATATTAGTCCCTCTTTATAAATCAAGTACAAAAATAATGTAAATTTCCTATTTTGCCCTTCTTTTAAATTAATAAACAATTTAAAAAGTACAATTATGATATTGATATTCCCAAAAAATGTACTATCAAAAGGGTAAGTTTGTAAAACCAACTTTTTTCAAATGCAATAAGTGTACTATCAAAAAAAGTTGGATTCCGCAAAAGGGACCAATATTTTGGGACGGAGGGAGTACTTTTTATAATGGCATACATAATTTAAATATGATTTTTTAGAAATTATTTTTAATTTAAAAATTACAATAAAATATTAAATACAATAAAAAATTTCTTACAAAATAAAAGTATTTGAATAAAAAAAAGGTAAGAAGAAAATTTAATATGGTATTTTCATTTAATCTGAAAATAATTTTAGATGAATAACAAATTATCACCTATAATCCTCTCTTTTTTTTAAATAAAAAAGTTTAACGAACTATCACTTTTATAATAATAAAAAAATTAACGTTTCTTTCTAATTTATTTTAGCAAAAGTAATTTTTTTGCAATTTGAGCCAAATATATCTTTATGCTTTATTTTAATTTCTTTAATTGACAATCGAGATAAATAAATAAAAAAATCTAACAAAATCCACGATGTTTGGTAAATACTACAAAGGTTTTGTTTTGTTCTTTTGTTAAAAAAAAAATTATATTAAAAATTATTATTATTCAAGTCCTTATAGTTTAGAAGGATATAATTTTTTTTTATAAAATTTAAAACAAAAAAATAAAAAAATTAATAGGGATTAATAATTTGAACAAATCTATTTAAAACAAATTATATTTAGACCAATAATATTATGACACATCATTATGATGTATGCGAATATTGAGCTCATTCTAATTGTAGTAATATAATTTGAAGAAGAATTTACATTTGAAATTTTCTTTTATAATCTAATAAATGATGCAAAATTTAATGAATGAATATTGATCTCATTCCAATTATAGTAACATAATTTAAGTAAGAATCCAAATTTGAAATTTTTTTTAAGAATATAAAATTAAATTATAAGCCAGTCGTATTGTAACACGTATTAACAAAAAATTAAACAAAATAAAAAAAAATGAGAAAAAAAACTTTCAACCTTAATGAAATGACAAAATTTTGTAATTATAATAGTATATAGATATATAGATAAATCATGGAATATATCATTATTTAAAACTTATATATTATGGGATAAATCATTATAATTTTAAATTTAAATTAATAGAATGTTTTTCATATTTAGTGCCTTTCAAATTTGAATTTTGAAATGGATTAGTGTACTTTTTATTTTTTATTTTATATATTTGATATACTTTCCATTTGAAAGTCATAAATCAAAAGATATTAATTAATTAATTAATTTATTATTATTATTTATTTATTTGCTTGAATGAGAGCTATAAGAGATTTTTTTAATTATTTAAAATCAAAAAATTAGAAATTTTAGTTTTAGATATTGAAACTCCCATAAGACTTGTGGTTAGAAACGCCATTTTACTTATATAATATATAGATTTTTAATAGTCAAAATTGTCCTTCAAACAATAATTGTTCATCATTTATGATTATCTATAAAGGAATATGATGATTTAACATTTATTTTGATTTTCAAAACTTTAAAACATCAACTTTCAAATTGAAAAAATTGAATTTTTTTTTTTGTGCAAAATTATAAATTTTGTGTCTATAAAGGAGCATGATGATGGAACGTTGATGTTCAAAACAAAAAAAAATAAAATAAAATTTAAAAATGAAAAATGAAAAAAACTTATAATATTCTTAGTTTCAAAACTAGAAAAAACTATAATGTTCTTGGTTTTAGTGAATAGTTTGATCAAACTAATAAGTAGAATGACAAAAACATTTAATCTCATGCTCTGTTTTTTTATTAGTTAGTGAGACAATTATCTTGAACATTACTATGCAAAATTGATAATATTCTTAGTTTTAAAAATAAAAAAAAATGATAATATTCTCAGTTTTACTAAATAGGACTTATTAATTCAAAAAATCTTAAATAGAATATAAGTTACCATAACATTTGTAAATAGAACTTTTAATATTATCGTCGTAAATAAATTCACTTTTAATGGTATTTTGTTTTAAAAGTGAAAGGTTGACAATGAGTCACATCATTATTTATGAAAATTATGTATAATTTTTTTTTGGGTATGGCTTCTGTCCAGTCCGATCTCGGACTGGACCATGTTGTTGGGCCCGTGGGGCCCACCACGGGTCCCGTTTTGATAATCTGAACTGTTCAATGTGTAGAACTCGTCGAGTACTATATGCATGTAAAAAATCACGTTGATCGGATATCAATAGCTATATGATCAAATCAGTTTCGTATTAAAAAAATCGGACGGTGAACAAATTAACGGTTGACAAAAAATTGTTTTGATCACATAGCTATCGATATCCGATCAACTTGATTTTTTACAGGCATATAGTACTTGACGATTTCTACACATTGAATGGTTCAGATTATCAAAACATGACCCGTGATAGACCCTCACAAGTCCAACAGCACGGTCTAATCTGATCCCAGACTGGATAGAAGCCATACCCTTTTTTTTTTTTTTTGTATAGCATTACTAAATTTTAAATTTAAATTTCACAAAATTTGAGGACGCTCGCTTTGATTATTCCAACAATTTATTTCGTAAAATCATCCATATACATCGTCGGTGAAAACAATTAAATAGATATAATAATCGTAATATTTTTATTTTATCATATTTGACTCTAAAAAAAGGAGATAAATTATGAGAGTAGTTCTCGTACTTTGGTCTTGTGTCATTTTAGTTTTTATAATTTCAATTAACTCAATTTTGATCTTGAGTTTATGACATTGTTTCAATTTAGTCCAATTAATTACAACTCTTTAGTTCTTTTTTTTTTAATAAAAAAATATGCACATAAGTGTCATGTGTCATATTTGTAAGGGCAAAACTATAAACTTGCTCAACTCAATGAGTTAATTTCAACTAATTTAGTGATAATTTTTCATAAAAAATACAAATAATATTATCAATTGGATCAAATTGACACAAAATCTAAAATTATATGTCAAAATTGAATTAATTGAAATTGTAAGTACTAAAATGATATAAGGGGTAAAATATAAGAACCAATAGTGTAATTTGCCCAAAAAAATAGATAGTCTATTTTCAAAAATATATTTTTCGTCCAATTTATCAAAGACAAAAGCGATAAAATAGACCATCCATTTTTTAGAGACAAACAGGTTAAAATAAAGAGATTACAATTATCAAATTAATTTTATTTTTTTTATAAATAATATACACTGAGAGCCTTATAAAATAAACTATTCAAATTATCGAAAATAGAACTCCTTACGGGCCTTGCTGAAATTGGGAGAAACCCAATGCAATTAGAAATATGATTAATTACATCAAACTAGACAATAAACACTAAAAATGGTATCAATTTTGGCTACAAACCCACCTTTCCAAACATGCAATATATGAAGAGATGGGGCAAATTCTACTATGCCCATCCTACGCCTGTAAATGGATCGGGTTCGGATTAGATTTATCAAAATTCGAATTTGATCTGCTTAAGACAAGTCCGAATTTGATTCGAATTCGTTTAGGGTTGAGGAAGGAATCCGTGAAATTAATAATCCGATCCGGTCCAGTTCAATTTGGTAGGTTTGGATTGGTTTTTTGAATCCGTGGTTTGGTTCCGATTTAAAAAATTAAAAATCTGTAATCCACGGATTAGTTTCGGATTGGAACCAATCAGAACCATATACGAATAGCCTATATTTATATTATACGCCCTTCCGCATAGTATATTCTTTTATTCCATATAAAACCCAAACCCAAACTTAAACTCGCGGAATATCTTATTTTACTACTTTTATTTATTAGCTTTTAGTTTTAAT